ACTTTATAAAACATGTAAATCGTGTCTAGTTATGACAATTTAGGTCCTATACCACTCGACACGTTGTAAAAATAACCTCAAGAACTGTTATCCCCTCGGCATTGTCAATGCTTCAGAGTGTTCGGATTTTATCAAATACGTCCGGGCCATTCCGTGGTATTTAGTCCCCAGCCCTTAAGTTTTCAAAAAAGACTCCTACTTAAAAAACTTATAATTTTTGAAACCAGACACAACAAGGCACCAGCATCCAAAATAAATTTTAGTTTGTGATAATGAATTATGATTTAATTGACACTTTTATCTGGAAACTTATAAAATAGTGCTAGGGAAGGACACTTTCATTTTTGAAATACAGTATTTTTCATAAAAGTGATTATTTGAAACAATATTTCTGAATCTAATGCACTTGACTAAATGTACAAAGATAAAGGCTAAATACATTACATATAACTTATTGTTTAAATTTAGCCAAGTGCATTAGATTCAGATATATTTGATTATGAGATAATGGATTGATTAATATCAATTTGTCCTTCCCGGATGATTTTGGTACCTATTTTTTTTTTTCAGTTTTCTCAGTAACTACAAAAGCTAAAAACTTATAACTTCAATGTTCTCCTCAAACATGATATGGGCCAGCAAAATATGAAAACAAAATTGCTCAGAACCACTTCAGTGAGAAATTAAATCAAAATATGTAAACATTAAACATGACACCTAGCACCGTAAAAGTACATGTGAAACATTTTGATTTGACAATAAGAGTTCAGGTGACCAATGAAACCTAAATCCTTATGCCTTGCAAGATAATCTTAAACTTAAAGTGCACAATAATTATATATATAGAGGCATTTCATTTGAGAAACTTTTTATTTGAATGAATTATTTGAAAGTTATTATAAATCTGGACAATTTATTATAATTTAACTAATGAATTTGGTAAAATTTCACTTAAATGTCCCAGTACTATTTAAAGATGATCAGAGCAGATGATAACTCATATCATAGTCAAAAATAGTAATATGTTTGTCAGTGAAATATATGATCATGGAAAAATACGCTTACCTTTGATATTATTTATCAAACTTATGTTGGTAAATATATCATAAAACATTATAATTAGCCTCGTTTTACATTTATTTAGCAATGGACAAAACGTACTTCCCAGATGCGTCCTTCACAGATGCCTACTTGATTTTTATACATGCAAAATTTTCAAATTAAAAAAATCTCGCAAAAACTTTACAGAGACATGTATGTAGAAAGTGAAATAATCAAATATTCAAATTTTGACTTGATTTTTAAAATATCTCCACCAACAGAGTGTTGGTGTTAAAGTTAACAGTCAAAATTCCATGTCCATTCCATGTCCTTCCAAGATGTTTGCTAATTATTACTAATTATTTTCCTTGACTATTAGAATTTTATTCCTAATTTTTTGCTTAAATATAACTTACATATAAAGGTATAAACGACTAAAATGGGCCTTTCAACTCTTTTTTTAATTTTTAAATATTTTCATTTGATGTGCCAAATGTCCTTCCAAAACGAAGAAAAACACCACGAAATGGCCCTTCCAAAGATTCAGTTGTAACGCAGTTCGCGAAAATACCTCTAAAATGATTTTAAAAAAATGTTTTAGTGCATAATCTATTTTTCTGAGAATTACTATTTAGTATAATTATGTACCATTCCGCTTTTTAGCTGCAAATTAATATTTAAAAAAAATATCTTTATTTTATTGACCCATAACCCTTGTCATTAAAATTCCAAACAAATAGTTGTACATACTTAATTAAGAATTAACCCTTGCGATGCAGTTGATCTTATTTAAGCTCAATGATATTTACTTACTTTGACCTTGGATGTCCTCGAGAATCCATGAAATTACAAGTAAAATAAGGAAAATTGTGTTGAACCGCCACATCTTCACCTCAGCCAGGTAAATCTTGCTTTGGTCGATTGTATACATCTGCGCATGACAATGTTTTTTGTCTCTGCGTTGTGAGGGACGGTAACGATCGATATTAGCAGGCAATTTTTTGTTGTGTTTCCAATGAAAAGCTGATATAAAGTTAAACACATATCTTTTTAAGCATAAATGTGAGTAGGCTGGCATTATTTAGGAAAGATGTGTTTTGTTGTCTTTCACTTGAAACGCTTGTTTTCCATGTCAGTACAAAGTTCTTGGTCTTTATTCCATCACGTATATTTGTGTTTTCGTTTGTGCGTTGTTAGGGGGCACCAGGATCGATATAAGTTAGCAATCTTTTGTTGTATTTCCAATAAAAAGCTGATATTAAGTTAAACCCATGTTTGATTCAGCAAACTTGGGTGTTTGCAGGCATTATTTTAGGAAAGAGGCCCAATGGTCTCCCCGCCTAGGCATGCCCCATACGTTGGAGTAAATCTGGACTCCGAGATTAAATTGCCAAGCCCCTGCAGTGACGGCGCGTGTGGAGGCGGGGCGACCACCATGGAATTAGCGGCATCGCTTTTGAAGTAGGGTCTGCCATATTTATTCGGCGGATCAGTTAGTACCCGGATAATCTATTCTGAATGACCCATAGTGTGATTTAAAACAAATATATTAGGTACATAACTAAGGGACCATTCCCACAGATATTAGGATCAATCTATCTCCCTGGGGAGTCTCACTTAATTGCTGTCCACTTGTCCGGCTTAAATGTCTGTCACGCCTAGTAAAACTGTTAAGGGGTAATTATCAGATGGATCGATCTAAGCATGGGAACCCAGTCTAACACCACGTTTAATCGGGTCTCATGATCATGCATTAGCATAATAATGAGGTGTAGAAAATCACAAATATTTTTTAAGCCGAATGAAATAAATGTAATATTAAAAGAGAATATTTTAATAACTTAATCATAATATTTCAAAAATGAAACAAATGTAACATTGATATCGTTATTTTTGTTAGGAAAGAAAGCTTTCTTGTGTCATCAGGAGCAGGCATGTGTTTTTGAATATAAGCATTTTTTTTCTTGTATTTATCATATATTAACTACAGTGGGAAAAATCTCAATTTCAATTAAATGAAGGACGCGTCCGATGTTCTTTTAACTTATTAAGTGTAACAGCACCTTCATTGTTAATTGTTAGTTCATAGAAAGCTGCCAAGAAGTGAATTACAAACACAGAGGCAGAAAGAGAGAGAATTATTAGCACCGCTATCGATCGACACAGCTATTTCTTTCCAATTAATTTGTAATAGGTATAACAATCTTACCTGTATATCCAGTTCTAGTCTCTTGCAATTGACACCTATCCACACAAAGCTGGTCGCAACTAGCACACAGCGCAACTAACACAATCAAGGAAAACCACGGACAGCATTTCACGACTCAGTTAACCCGATGCTAATACACGGATATAGATTAAACCCAGGGCAACTAACACAACGTATAATATCCCAAGTTACATATAATGTCTTTCGAGCATCAAACAAACGTTATCTGAAAAAGATGCCTCTCCAAACTAGTTGTTTGTGTTTTTATCTTCCTGAAAATCAGATATATTTTTATAATAATAATAATAATAATAATAATAATAATAATAATAATAATAATAACATATCATTAAACCCGAAAAGACACCAAAAACAATATCAATGACTTACATGAAAATTTTAAATTTTTGCCCTTTGATGTTTATGCGGCTGGCTTGCATTTCGGTGCCTTTACAACATGTTTGTGGGGGATATTAGCCACAACTTTATTTATGACAAGTCAGCTTTATCAGTTATAAATATAAGGAAAAGTGGAATATCAGTCTGCATTTTCAATCTTGCTACAATCAAAAGGGGGCAGTTGCTTTTATTAAACTTTCAAAAAAAAACTCTCGTGATTTTCTTGCGAGATTCCCGTTACTTGTCATGTGACAATCATGCGACAGTCTGTGTGGACATTTAGGAGCACAGTGTAGACTGCAGTCTATTAACTCCCATGTACAATTATAAATTGGAGCGTATTGTTTGTGAAACGATCTGTATTGTTATAGGGTGTGTCGAGGAGCATTGTACAATCAAACAAAAAAAAACACACTGAGATGTATATAGTCATAGAATTTTCGAGAATACAGGATTGATCAAAGCATCGTCTTTCTTAACAATGTTAAATTTGTTTCATTTTCAATATATTATTAAGAACTTAAATCTCTTTATTTATTTTTTTTTTTTATTTACTTCGTTCGGCTTTAATATTATATTTGTGGTTTTTAGTTCTTATAATTATGCTACTGCATATGAGACGTGTTTAAGCGTGGTGTCAATTAAGTAAGATAATTTTAGTCACACTATCTTCAATATCATAGACTTTTAACTCTGTGGTGCGTTTAAATACACGGCCCATGTGCTTTTAACTTGTATGGCGCGGTGTCTATTAGCACATTTACCGGGTATATACTCATAAATGTAATCTATTTTATCATGAAATACTGTGTTTGGTGATCCAACGTATTCTATTTCTTTGCGAATCCATATAATCTTTTTCCATGGGTTTAATATCCAATTTACAGTATACATGTCGAGGCCCGTGAGAGATGAAATGGCTTTTAATATTTATATAAGAAAAGTTTAAATCGCCTATTTGCGTCATTTGTTCTCTCTCTTTTTAATCTTTAGTACCCACCGTCTGGAAATATACAACGGACGCTTTTGCAAACATAATTCAAGCAGTTGAAAAGGTGCAAGCACAAAGGCAAATGCAATAATGCGTGATGGAATAAAATAATTGAAATGAATAGCACAAACGTTTCACGTGAACGACAACAAAACACGTCCTTCATAAAATAATATCAGCAAGCACAGGTATGTTTGCTTAATAAGGTAAGACTTTAACTTAAAAACGCAGGCTTTTCGTTGGAAATACAACAAAACATTGCCCGCTTACCAGTATGTTGATCGCTACCGTGAACACTACAAAGCAGAATCAAAAACATTGTCATGCGCAGATGCATGCAGTCGACCGGTGTAAGATTTACCTGGCTGAGGTGAACATGAGGCAATTGAACACAATGTTCCTTGTTATATTGGTCATTTCATGGATTCCCAGGGACATCCAAGGGCAAAGTAAGTAAACACATTTTTATCAAGCTACAATTACAAGTAGTCACAAAGGTTAATTTTAAAATTACCTGTTTGGGTTGGTCAGGATTTTCTCTCAGTGTGGGCAAGTTTTAGCATTAGTGAAAAAAAAACAGAGTTAAGTTTTTATTTTCCGACACTAATTGTAAATTTCTTCCATTTATTGAACTAATGTCCAAAGTGCTTTCCCTCTTAGATTAAATAATGTTTTCATTTGTACATATTTAGCATAGCCTATATACTTGCCTGCCGATCAGGTGCTACATGTAGTATACTGAGGACTTATCAATCGTAAAACATTCCTAAGTCAACAACGCAAAGTAGACGTTACGTACATGTATGTAGTAGTTTAGTTATATAGCTTAAAGAGAAATAGTGGCAGTGTTTGAATTAGGGTGTTTACATGTGGCCACTACGTATGTAAAGGCTACCGTTTTGATACTGTTAATCACTGTTAAAAGGACAAAGAGTACGAATAAAAACAGTTAAGGTGAAATGTTAACAAATAATCTAATCACCAGTGCCGTACATTCAAGGTTCCGTTAAGTTGTCTTTGTCATCAATCTAGTAAGGGGCTGCTACATGGAAGACAACTGTATCTATAACGCTGTTTTTTCCTTTCTTTTCCATTAATGTCTTTTTTTCTCTTTTTTCAAGCCGATGGAGACGTTCGAATTCGAGATGGAGACACACAGTACCAAGGCCGCGTGGAGATCTACCATAACGGGGAGTGGCGGAGGGTGTGTGAGGAGGGGTGGGGAATTAACGACGCCAAAGTTGTTTGCGGGCAATTAGGCTTCGAAGACGCCCACGCTGGTATCAAAATATCTTTTCATTTTAATTCTGTTGTTGTTATTTAAAAATAAACATATTATTATTATTATTATTATTATTATTATTATTATTATTATTATTATTATACCTTTAAATGAAAGTTTATCTTATCACTTGCTGCTATATCTTCTGCTTAGGAAAATTGTAAGATACATTTTCTCCGCTTGGGGTGGGGGCATGTCCTTTTTCCCTAAATCCGCCGGATTTTTGTATTTGAATACAGTCATATACCAGGGAATCTAATTTTGTCTCCTTTCTTATGACGAGTGTCTAGCAGTTTTATGTTCTAAAATAGTACACTTACAGTCATACTTAAATATTTTATAACAGGGCATGTCAACCATAATCCGAGAGGAACAGGGGCATTTTGGCTGTCCGATGTGAACTGCGCCGGCACGGAAGACGCTTTGAACAACTGCACGTCCGGAGGTTGGGGCAACATCAACTCTGCATGTGGTATCAATGACTACGACGATGCTTGGGTCATCTGTAAAGCACGTACGTACCTGAAAATACGGTGCCATTTTAAAGGATATGTATACCTGTAAATAAAAGCAGCAACATGTGTGATACAGCTTTCATTTTCCACCTTATCTTCAATGGGCCTCAACATCGCGACAGCGCTTCTTTCGATGTAGTCAGACCAAAGTTTCTTACATTTGATTGAAGTGATGTTTACCCCTTCCTATTGAGATATCCATGTTGTTTTTTGTTTGTTTGTTGTTTTTTTCTCAATCCAAGTCTTTTAGAAAGATAAAGACATATGAATCCTTCCTTAGTTACTCGATTCAGTGGCCCATAATTCAAAATACAATGAGTCACAACTACGACTGTGTCTTTAACCGCCTAACTTTCCAAACTTCAGTATGGCGAGATTTAAGTGGTATTCAGAGTCTCGTAAAAGAACGATTGCATCACAAATCTGAATGTTAGTCTTGCATATTAGTCAGACGGGTTGTTAAGTCTTGCATATTACTCTGATGGGTTGTTTAAAAACACATCAAAATGTGGTTTTTAGGATGGCAATCAGTTAACAGGATAGTAATGGATAAGCATCCTTTTTTCCTTCATACATGTAGAATTCGAGAACTTACAATGTCTAATCTGTTTTAAATTTTGTTTCCGTGCTTTCAGCGGGCGATGGGGACTTGCGTCTAGTTAACACGTCAAATGCATACGAAGGTAGCTTGGAAATACAATATGGTGGAAGATGGGGGAGGGTTTGTGGCTACGGGTGGGATCTTACAAGTGCCAACGTAGCGTGCAAGCAGCTTGGTTTTACCGGAGCCCATACACCGATATCAAATATGTCAACGCGGGGGTCAGGTGAGTTTTCATAATTTACATACAATAAATTTCCTTTGGTCGTTCAGTTTACAGCAGTTCATAGGTAACCACTGGAAAAGACGATGTAGGCTTTTCAAGATAAATGGATAAATCTCTTACCAAACTGTTGTCATTATAATATTAGTTCCATAGATGGATTTCAGTAGAATATAACATGGTTGGAAAGTCTTAGTATTTTTATTTTACAAATAAATAAATAAATAAGTAATTTACAAATAAATAAATAAATAAAAATGATGGGACATTTAAATTAATTTATATTCGTCGATTTATTTATTTTATATGTGTGCATATTTCTTTGTTTCCTTTAAATTTGTATTTATAATCTACATTCTGATTTTGTTCATATCATATTTTGCTGTTTTATAAAACATACCTGGATCACTACATGGCATGAAAAAATGTTATAGTTAGGCTTTACACGATAAGATCAATGTGAAAGACAGCAATTGATGGTATTCTTTTCAAACACCAGGGCGATACTGGATTCAGAATTTGAATTGCCAGGGATCCGAGGCGTCCCTGTCAGATTGCTACCATGACGGCGTTGGAGAAATAAACCCACAGTATTGTGACGAGACCTCATTACATGACGCCGGCGTTCTGTGTAAAGGGCGTGAGTAGATATTCATTCGGGGCTCAAGCCGATTCCGCTTCACAAAGAAATATCAAATCTCATGCTGTCTTAATTCATATAGACAGCTTTTCAAAAATGATTGGAATTAGCCGACCATATTATTGTGTTGAATAAAACTTAACTAAAAAGACGTTGGTGGCCGTTAAGATATTTTGAAAAACGCAATTCAGTTCATTCAAATTGCGTACTAAGGTGACAAAATATGCCGTTAAATAAATTTCAGACCTTTTGTAAAAAAAAAAAAGGATTTTGAAAACAGGGTTGTGAAACAGGGACAAGTTGGAGAACAAGTTTGAGCATTTTGAATTCCGGGTTCTATTTCAGAATCATTTAATGTGATTATGTATATGATTATTATATTTTTGTGGACGACGTATGTAAATCTTCATATAGTATTTCGTAACGGTCTTTGCAAAAGATAATGACTGATGTGTCCTCAAGGTGATTTGTTTGAAAACTTCTTTGTATTTGAAAACAATGTTTCGTATTTAACTAATTTACACCATAGACTGTAAACAAAAATGAATCTGTACAATGTTGTACATAGGGTAAAAAATTATAATGTCAGGAAGCGTTTTGTGCAATGCTGTACTGCACTAGTTATTTGTTTTACCAACAGCCAATGACGGAGATGTCAGATTGGTCGGTCCCTCCCAATATATGGGTCGAGTTGAGATATTCTACGCAGGAAACTGGGGGAGAGTGTGTACTAACGGGTGGTCGCTGAGTGACGCCGTAGTGACCTGCAGACAGCTTGGTTTTAGTGGGATAGTCGGATCCCTCACAAGTTGGACACCGAGGGGGACTTCGAGGGTGCTTTTAGGTATTGTGTTTCAGTCTATCTGTTTAGTCTCCAGTCTCTCTGGGAGGTTATTTGTCATTGCCTATGTAACAGTCAGACATACGGAAAGTCGTTTACATGTAGCTTAACCATTTACATTCTTTGTTTACTTTAAATTTTAAAGGCTTGATGCTTATTAGAATGATTACAATATAAGCACCTTTTATTAAATAATTCATAATATAAAAATATTTGATTGTGTGAGGGTGAAAGATGACTAGGTTATCCCATCCATTTATGTCCATTTGCAGCTAATATACTCCCCCCNNAGGAAAGTAAATAACAGTAATGTTAGTCGTACGATATTGATTTTTCAGACCAATTTAACTGCGCCGGTACAGAGAATCGGTTGGATGCCTGTTCTCATGGGTGGATAGGGTACCCAAGCACTGCGTACTGCTCAGCAACATCCAATGTGGATGCCTCTGTCCTCTGTAAAGCGCGTGAGTATATGGATCAGGGGGCCAATGGGGAGGGGGAGACATGAACGGATATATGTGTTGGGAAATCAAAAAATAGTAGACGAAAACAATTTCAGTTTACATGTAAAGTGTGAGGTCAATGACGCACAATTCTAGTGATTTTGTTTCTTTTTTCTTAAACCGAAAACCCCTTTTTATGGGGGGGGGGGGAGAGAAGGTTTTGGTCGCCAGTTCTCTCTTTACTAATTTTATTAAAAAAGCAGACGACTCTGACAGTTTTAAATCCCTTCTTAAAACTCACATTTTTAAATCTGTCTATATCTCTTAGGTTTTTTCATACATATTAATAATGTTTTAGTAATGTTAATTTTAAATGGTTTCCAATGAGTGTTTTAGATTTAAATATTGTAGTGATTTTAATGCTTTTAGATATTTTATTCATTATTGTAAGGCGCCTTGAGGTAGCACGTAAGGCACCATATAAGATTATTATTATTATTATTATTATTAGGCTGTTAAACTTCTTTCGTTCAGCGAGATTCCCCGCGGAATTGATAAACCAGACATACAACATTGGTCAAAAAGGTTGTCCCACCCCCATTTCCACGTACTTTTATTAACAAATTATCACCTTACAGGTGTATAGTGTCATAAACGGTGCTTTCTATTTCTATTGTAGATACCCTGTCTAGCATGATTAATGCTTTAAAAATACAAAATAGTGGTGTGGATATGCCCATTTTATACCATTTAGTCAAATTTATAACAGGTACCAATTTTTGTTGGAATATTTCATCTATTTCAGATGCCATGTTATTAAGAAGTCTCTCAACCTCCCTCATAACAGTTACTTCCGTATCTTCTTTTTTGATAATTTCTTTTTTTTTATGTCCGACAGCTCGTGAATTAGTAATTGTAGTTCTTCCACACTGGACTTTACCACTTCTAAATGTGGTCTTTTAGGGGCTGAAGCTGTTGTAGGGCCTATGTGATTTATTTGGTTTTGTGCTGATGGTGAGGCACCTAGACATAGTCCTATCATCAGTTTTATTGGGTTTCTGGACCATTGCCTTATTATAGTTGGTATGACTGAATATCCCAGCACAATAATATACAAGTAGACCAATTACCCTACATGTAGCCTACTAAATAGCGTAGTTTCAGGTTAATAAGAATACTGTTCTACCTCCTTAGGCTGCACATACCTGTAGCCTATATGTCCAGAAGTCCCAGATGCAAACTTTCCAAAAACACCAACCTGCCCTCCTCGACCGCCCCCCCCCCCACCCCAATGTTAACTGTCTGTAGGCCTACT